CACCCACCTCCGAGGCGACCGTGCCTCAGTGGCATCAGCCACCGGCAGCCCCGCGTCGAGGCAGCTCTGCCCGATCGATAAGCAATTTGTGTAAGGGGGCTTGCGATGCAGGGGAGCAATAATGAACTCTCTGGAGGAGGGAGAAACAATATTGTTAATGCTGAAATAATCCCGCACGGAAATAACAGTCGGCAGGGGGCTGGGTCCCCGGGGCACGTCTCGGTTCATCCCCTGCCACTCACCGGGCTGCCGTGCTTTGTCTGTGCACGGGGGACAGTGGCTGGGCTGGTGCTGGGCAGGCGTCTGCATCGGGGAGGTACCTGGCAGTCAAAATGTCCCCTTCCCACCTCAGGGAATTACTTTTTTCACCCCAGGAGGTTTACTTGTGCCAGCAGAAATGTGTCCATTGTTTCCAAACTGACTGCTCCCTTTAGCTCCATCTACCCTATCCTCTTTTTTTTAAATTTAATTTTAAAATTTTTTTCAAGATGGGAGAGTCTCTCCTTACCGCTTGTCACTTAACTCTATGCAGCAACCGCTGAATCTCTGGCTGCATTAGCAAAACCTCTCTGAGCTTTTGAAACCTCCCTGGAAAATCTTCCCAGGGGCTTGGGCGCTGCAAGGACTCCAGTTCTGGCATGGTGGGCACCCAGCCTTGTCTGCCCTGGGGCACTGCAGTGAGCAGCAATCCAAGAGCTGCCCTGCCCTTGCTTAGAGCAGGGGCACAGGGCAGCGTGAGGGGACCCAGCACGAAGTGACGTGGTTCTGTCTCTTTCTGCGGGCTCCCCCCACGGGGGGGAAAGCGCCCTTCATCGGGGAGAGGATTGACCCTGCCCTGCCCCTGGAGAGCCAGTGGTGAGTCCTGCCTGCCCTGAGTGGCTGCCTGAGGAGCCCCGGGGCAGACCTCCTTCATCCTTTCTTCCCTGGCCCCGCATTTCTGCCCGCTTGTCTCTGCCACCCATCTCGCAGTTGTGGTGTCTGCGTGTGCCCTCTGCACCCCCGTGAGCTGCTCAGTGGAAGCCCAGCCCCTTGTCCCCCAACCCCAGCGGTGCCACCCACATCCCTCTCCCTGAACGTGGGCTGCTGTCCCCGGCGAGGTGCCGGGATGCTGGCACTGCTGCTGCCCCGGGGCAGAGTCCTTCCCGGGGTGTCCACTCTCTGCCTAGCACAGCGGGTCCCTCTCCCACCTCCAGCTGGTACCACGGGGCCATCAGCCGGACGGACGCGGAGACGCTGCTGAGGCTGTGCAAGGAGGCCAGCTACTTGGTGCGCAACAGCGAGACCAGCAAGAATGACTTCTCCCTCTCCTTGAAGTGAGTGAGCCTGGACGGGGCTGGGAGGGTGGCTGGACCCATGGCAGAGGCGACCTGGTGCCGTGGGTGACCACTTGCTGGTGGGCGCTCCACGCAAATGTGTGCCTGTGCCGATGGGGTAACTCTGAGATGACCACAGGGTGGTCAGAAATGGCTGGAATATGAAGCCTCTGCTTCCCTGTGGTGTGGCACAGGCTTCTGGTTTGGTGTCTGTGAAAGTATCTCTCAGGAAGGCTTGTAGATCTGGAGGCACGTTGCTCTTCCATTGGCAGTGCTAGTGATCCCTCAGCTGAATAAGAGGATGTGCCTCACTGCTCACTCGAATGTGAGTGGTTACAGCTCCCAGCTCTGGCCTCTTGTTACCCCCTTTTTTTGTAGCTTTGTTTCATGGGAAAATAAAGTTTGTGTGATCCCACTGTTAATGGAAACGTAAGTACCCATCCCTGCCTCCTCAGCCCACATAACCGCTGAAGCCCTCACTCAGCCGTGCTGTAGAGAGGGCATTACGCTGCTTGGTTTCCCAGCAGGGAAAACTTGCCCCCACAGCACGGCTTGGTTTCTGTTTGGGTTTGGGGGGGGGATCTTTGCACCCTCCCAAAGTTTTCCGGATTCCCTTAGTGCCAAAACTGCATGAAGCATTGCCGCACGTGTCCTGCTAGGGAGAAGCTGCCCATAGCTCTTCATCCAGCTCTTTCAGGAATCTTGGGACAGCCTGAACCCACAAAATCAAAGCTGTTACTGTCCTGAAGATGATGATGGATTAGCAAATACCTTCTTGCCCTCCTGCTGGATAAGTAGATTAGCTCTGTTCCTGGCAGATGTGAAAAAAGTATTTATTGAGCACTTCAGTCGTCTCTGTCCACCAACAGGCCACGTATCCCTATGCTTTTCTCAATGTACTTTTAAGTTTCCCCAGTGGTCTCTGAACCTGCATTGCTGCCTGGTGGCTTCAGCCTCTCTCGTTTATTTCCCAGGGATACAATTGTGCATTAGATTGCTCCATCTCTCTCTGTTTTTTATGCTTTTTTTTGCTGCCTTCAACACCAAGCCAGGGCAGATCTTTAGCTGAAAATATTCTTTCTTCCTTCTGCAATTGTAGCTTTTAGATCAGACAACGAGCCTTTCCAGAAAAACTCCCTCATTTCCTTTTTTTGTCAGAATTTTTACTGATGTTTTGATTTTCTCAGTACTTTTTCCTTGCCCTGGTTTGCGAGCAATTTTGAAACAACAGCTTCTGCTGGTTGATGAGCCATATTCGAGGCTGCAACAGGTCCTCTCAGCCATCACCTCATGGGTGGAATTAGCCAGCATGTGTTGGAGAGCCTAGGAGGTGGCACTGGGGTTGTGGATGGGGCTTCCTCCCGTGCCAGCATGGGTGTCCCTTTTCATCACCTCTCTGTGAACCAGTCACCCATTTCTTAGGGGTTTTTTCCTTAATTCTTACTGCGCATCCTTAGCCTCATGGCAAATATGGCCAAATCCTCTTCTCAAACAGCATGTGTAGCTGGGACATGGCCTTGCCAGCACTGTGCCACCTCCCTGGAGGAGACTGCAGCCCATCCAGGAGCTGCTTGGGCATTGCCTGTCCAAGGTGCCTCTCTTGCAAAGAGCCCGCAGCCTCAGGAACGTGATTTTTACTCTGTTGCCTTTCTCTATAGAGCCTTTTCAAGGAAAATCCCCTGGGATGCTTTTTATATAGCTGTAAACTGGCTGTCTGCATCTCTCTCTATTTTTTCTTGAACTTTTTTTTTTTTTCCCCTTTGAAGAAGGAGGTGAAGCCAAGGAGATGATCTGAAAGAGAGCTCTGGTGCTGACCTAAAGCCCTTTTGTGCTGCTTTCAAGGCAAATATACACCAAAGAGAACAGCAGGATGGGCTGTATCCATAGCGTGTCAGGTAGCAGGAAGGATTTAACCCTGACGTGACAGTCCTGGCTGGTCCAGGTTAGGGGGCCCCATGTTGCCTGTTGCGGGCAGATTTGTAGTGTCGTTGCCTCAAGCGCTCCGGGAATGAGCCCCTCCTGGCTCGTGCCTCTGTGACAGTGTCTGAGGCCACGCTGCAAAGGTTTAGGTCCTTCCTCACATCTGTAAGGTGCTTGGCAGGAGCAGTACCTGCCTCTTGTCCTCGTTGTGGCCCCCCCGGTCCCCGTGAGGGCTCCCTGGTTTGTGCAGCTCTCTGGTTTGCAGCCTGCCTGGGGGACCCCTGGGGAGGTGCCCGAGGGAGCAGGCTGCAAACCTGACAGTTTCACAGACAGCAGCTGTGGGCAGCTGTGTGTGTTAGCGGTGTGACCACGTATATGCGTGTGTAGGATGAATCCGTGCACCTTCCTGAGGTGCCATGCACGGTGCAGCCCCCGCAGCTCTGCCCTGCGCCCTGCCACTGGGACACAGGATGCAGCTGGCTGTCGCTTCTCGTTGTCCCCTGACAGGGGGCTGTGGATCCCCCCTGCCCTCCCTTGGGGCAGCCAGCTTCTTGCTTCTCGGCGCTAAATGGATTGCAGACCCATTCTGCTAATGCAGCCGGGCTGTCGATTACAGGTACCATCTCCAGCCGGGGGGATGGGACTGCCCTGCGCAGCACTGGAAGCGGCTCAGCATTGCTGATGAGGTCCTGTCTGCTTTTAAGTCATCAATATTTTGCCATAATGTGCATTCCAGACGCTGCAGACAGGCTGTGGCTCTCCTCGGAGACGCAAATTAATAGCAACAGGGCCATTAGCCCGTCACTTGGAATCAGTGCTTGTGGCAGGATCTGCCTGCGCAGCCTCGCGTGGCTCTCTGCCCGTGCTGTGCCGGGAAATGGCCTCGCTACGCTGAGTGGGTTTTATGGAACCCGCAGTGTTGGTGGGGGGGTGCACAATGGGCTGCGGGCCAAAGGAGAAAATCCTGCTTTGCCACGGTGAGGCTGGGGATATGTGAGCTGAAGTCCTCCTGTGCGAGCCAGGTGGTTGCAGAAGGGGCTTTGCCACGTGTGAGGGGTGAAAGCCGCTGCCCCTACGTCATCCTGCAGCGAGATCCCCCCAGCCCCTGCTGCTGCTCCTGCCCAGGCTGTGCCTTCGCTTTCCTGCCTGTGTGCACCCACCCCAGCCTCGGGCACCGTCCTCATCCGCGGATGGACCCCTTACACCCCGCTGCATGGCTGTGTTCCCTGGGGGACACGCAGTGCAGCGTGGCCAGCCGGGTCCCTCCCTTGTGCTGTGGGCTTTGTCTGGAGTTGGCTGAGAGCGGGGTGGTACGGGCAGGGCCATGGCTGGGGACAGGAGACACCAGCGTCCTGCCCCGCAGCTATAGGCCGCCGGGTCTGGGGGGGGCCGAAGCCTGAGGGGAGGCCGGGGGCAGCTGCACCCCCTAACCCTGCCTCGATCTCTCCTTGCAGGAGCAGCCAGGGCTTCATGCACATGAAACTGTCTCGGACCCAAGAGAACAAGTACGTGCTGGGTCAGCACAGCCCGCCCTTCGACAGCGTGCCCGAGATCATTCATCACTACGCCAGCCGCAAGCTGCCCATCAAGGGGGCTGAGCACATGTCCTTGCTTTACCCGGTGGCTATCCGTACCCTATAGTCCTTACCCGCCGCGAGCCAGGCTTGAGGCCGGGTGCACCCGGAACTGGCACCTCCAGCG